CCCGGTGCCCCCTGCATCGGCAGGCGGACTCTCAACCACTGCGCCACCAGCAGGGAAGCCAGGTGACTTTTTAAAAAGATAATCAATCTGAGCATCCAGTCTTTGTGGGGCAAAGTGTGTATGTGATGTTAAAGGTCACGTGTTCTAACACATAAGCATTTTTCTTTGGATTGAACTGTATTTGCCACTCCCTCCACAATTAGGGGTGGGTGGTATTTTGACACTTAGAGACAAAAATGGTCAAATGAGCAGGGCTAGAATGGTTCCCCCAGCAAGATGTAAGTCTCTCCTTGTCTCTAGTAGTTTCTTCTCCCAAATGCAGGGTCATTTCTGTCCTCTGAAGAGCGCAGTCTGTAACTCAAAGGCACCTGTAGCTTGGAAGGTGTAGCAGTACTGATGACAACTTCTTGGTTTTCCTCAGAGCTGAGGAATAATAGCCAAAAGCAATTGGCCGCACCCTGGACTTCAGGGCTCAGAGGAGCAAGTTGTCGTGCAGTAGCAGAGGCATCCACGGTTATACCCGAGACCATCCAAGACTGAAAGGGCGTCTGGGAGAAGCACAGTCAGCCTCCCTGTGTTTCACGTTTACCCTCTAAAACCTAAGAAAAGGCCATTTCAGTGTTTTGAGGTCCTTAAATAAAAACTAATTCCTATCGCACAGTTTTAAAGACATCTTTCTAGAAATGTTATGATGTGATCATTGAATTCAGTGGGCACACATAGGCTGCTCTACCAAAAGGACTGGACAGCAAAAAGTAAACTTTGGGATAAACCAAAGAGAAGATGCCAGGTTATGTGTTAGAAGTACTCAGACCGTATCACAGTGTAAGACTGAAAATAAGATCCTCATAGATATTTCCTGTCTCTCTCGGGTTCCTCTCTCTCTCTCGGGTTCCTCTCTTTATAGTTTGAGCACACTGTTATGAATGTTCTCCTGGGCTCATTGGTTTGATGAGGATCTATCTCTTTCCAAGGGACAATTAACTGGTTTTTAAGGACTTCCATACCAAGTAACTTACATCATGCTTATTTCTGTTTTTCTCCACAAAAGGGATTTTGTGAAATAGACTAACACAGACATTCTCTCTCATTTCTCTCCATTATTTAAAGCTAAAAACCCCAAAATAAAAACAGCAGCCCTGGATTAGAGAGTATCAAAAAAGTTTTTGTGTTTTTCAAGTTGTCTAATTTATTACAAACTAAAAATCTCTTTCAAACTGGCACCAAAGTGGCTTTTCTTCCTGAGCTGATTAGGACCACATGAGCTCAGGAAAAGCTGTCAGATCCTGCCTCTGGCACAGCTGGAACGATCCAACTGATTTGCCAGTATGATTTTTTTTATAAAGCAGGAAGCTTCATCCACAAATCATAAATTTATATTCTAGAGCCCCAAGCAAAAATTATTCCGTGTTCATTTTAAAAGAAGCAAAATTCCATTGTGACCGCTTTTATGGGTCCTCCCGAAAAACAGACGCAACTGGGGTGATCTTTTGGTCAACATTTCATACTATAGTAGGAGCTGACTCAGCACCTTATCTTGAGTTATCTAGATTCCCACGGACACATGGGGGTGTCATTCAGAAAACACTGATCCTCAGGAAACAGTCATGATCCAAGACCGTGCTGGAATGCCTACCTTTTCAGAATTCTGTTTGTCAGGCTGGCCCAGGGCAAATTAATGGATTAGGTTAAACTTGTCTTCTTGAGCTGACGGTGATGGGCCCCTGGATCTGCTCTGTGGTGTGGACCACGGTAAGTGAAGGCACTCAAGTAGCTCCTGACTCCCCAGGGAACCCCTCAGGGGTCCTTTTCTCCGCAGCTCTTTCACCACCACTTCATCACGTAAACTTGCCTGGCCTGCCTCTCTCTCACTGAGGTCTCCTCTCTTGGCTAGATGGCTCTTGGCCTGGGTGATAAATAATATGCGTGGAATCATGGGTCCTAATAACTTTGTATTTATCTTCTCAGGAAACACAGATGCACCTAATCAGACCCAGAGTCATGCTGCCTTAACCCAAAAAGGTGACACACATCAATCTTTTAGCAAATGAGCCATTCTGCCCCTTCACAGCACATCTATGGGGCCCACTCCCAAGGCTGATGTTTTACTGGTCATGCATTTCAGAAAGGAGATTTTGTTTGTTTCTCTGTTTCTTTGTTTGTAAGTAAGAGAAAGTATTATTAGGAAGGAGAGGGAGTGGTGATCTTTATGCTGATTCTGCAAACCCTAATTTGACTTTATAATTTCTGTCTCACTTTGCCCCTTGCTACGCACTGTACTGTGGGGTCTTTTTTTTTTTTAATTTTGCCTGCTTTGGGTCAAATTCCAGTCCAAAATCCCCAGCCAGGCTGGGCTGGTCTAGCCCACCATCTCAGTGTTTTCTTCATGTGACTCTATAAAAGGGGCTTCTTAGTCTTTTTGCCTTTATTAAAAATACTAGAACCATTTGGAATTATCCCTTATTCCAGATACACAGCAGGTAGAATTATACACCAACCACTGATTGGGATGCTCTAAGTATTTCTGTGAAAATAGTGGGCAGAATTTCATAACCCATCGTTCCTCTATTAATAGTTAACCAGGTTGAGAGGATTTGAATAAAAGCACATCTTGTTGCATGCAACAATGGTTTGACGGAAGTGCTGTATGGCAGAGTCAGTATTTTACTGCTTTCAGCTTCACTACACAGTTTTGGAGCCGGGGAAGCCATGCATGCCGAATGGCAGAACTTACAACCGCCTACAAAAGCAGAGTACAGTCCTACCTGTGGAGCCTCACCACTAAGAGAAGGTGACAGTTCCGGGTTTTAAAAATACCCTAAACCGTAGAATAGTTTCTGAATAGAACTCGCTGCTCTTTGAAGCACTCAGCAAAGCAAGGCTTTTTCAAGCAACTGTTAAGACATAAGTATTGCATTTTACAACCATCCATTTCGTGTATTGTGAGACAAAAAAAGAGAGAATGGGAGAAAAGCGTTGACGTTTATATGTTTATGGATAAAATACATGGAGGTTTGACTTCTGACCACTTTCAGAGCCAGGAAGAGTGGCTCAGACATGATGATGGGAAGAGCTTCTATAGCCTTAAACACAGCCCTTTTCCAAAGTGACTTCCCTTTACCCATCCAACCCCCGCCCCCCCAAAAAAATCAAAATGTGCTTCATGCAACTATTGTATATGAAGCAGTTATTAGCCATAATTAAATGGACAATATGAATTTACTACGTCTTTAGGACTCTGGCTTGTTCTGGTTTAGAGCAAGATGATTAATGCAAATACATATTACTTGAGATAACCATTTAGCAGCTAATTTAGCCAAATTTATTACAGCAGTTAGAGGTTTTTCATTTTAGCAGACGGAGACAAGGACGTGCCAAAAGTGGGCAGCGTGGACGAGTGCACACTGCCCTCTAGTGGCCGACCAGCTGGCGCGCTGCTGGGGGGTGTGGAGTCTCTGCAATTCGTATCCAAGCGATAACAGCGGGTTGTGCACGTTTCCGGCATCCTTTTAAACCCTTCCCATCCATAGCACTTTATTTCAGGGGCTGATTTACTGCACTCTTCCCCCTTTTACTAGCTCAAGCGTGCCCAGATACAAATCAAATCCATTTCAACTTGGCAAGATTTTGGTTAAAGTATCATTTTTAACATCTGCATTTTAAAGCTCTCTTTCCGTGGATATTTAATGGCACCGTTTCACATTACTGATTGTTTTTACTTGTTCCTTCATTTGGGGCCATATTTCAGAGTCTGTGTGGAGCTGTCACTCTGTTTGGCTCTAGCCAAGTCAAACCTGTTTTTCGCTTAGGCCAGTGTTTCTGTCTGACTTGGTGAGGGAATGCATTTCGTTCCAACGTTCAGCAAATTTCTCATCAGAATCTCCCCTGACTGACCCATGTAGATTGAGTTCATACTATAAATTCTGTTCAACAAGATCAAAAGGAACCGATACACAAGGACACGGGTTGATACTGCTCGCGCTGAGGTGAAATGATCAAAGAGAGGAGAAAAGCATCTTTGGAACCATTCAGACATCCGGAATCGCAAAGAGAGCTACCTTGAAGCTATGAATAAATCACATCCAAATTTGCCTCTGTTCCCATCTGACGTCAAACCCATTGACAATATCCACACCGCATTAGGTGTTCTGTGAGCCAGAAAGATTTGCAGTCCCGTTATCCTTCCTTTCACACCATGACTGTCCAAAATGGAATAAAGTCTTGCTACAAGCGCTAGTAACCCTAGCTCCGGAGCTACTGCTCCACTGAATTGGTGATTTTGTTTGTCCTACTAATGGCATTCTACATTAAGCGTACAGAGGGGCACCCCTGGCTTGGTGCGGGACCGCCCCTTTCTTCTTTTTTTAAAAATTTATTTATTTATTTTTGGCTGCGTTGGGTCTTCGTTGTTGCCCGCGGGCTTTCGCTGGTCGTGGCGAGCAGGGGCTACTCTTCGTTACGGCGCGTGGGCTTCTCATTGCGGTGGCTTCTCTTGTTGTGGAGCAGGCGGGCTTCAGTAGTTGTGGCTCGCAGGTTCTAGAGTGCAGGCTTAGTAGTTGTGGTGCACGGGCTTAGTTGCTCCGCGGCACGTGGGATCTTCCTGGATCAGGGCTCGAACCCGTGTCCCCTGCACTGGCAGGCGGATTCTTAACCACTGCGCCACCAGGGAAGTCCAGGACCTCCCCTTTCTAAGCTTCAGATTTTGCAGAGATGATAACCATTTCGTCCCAGTCCTAATATGCAATGCCTTCTATTCTGTTTTTTCACCAGTGCTGAATAAGGGCCAATGTGTGACAAAGTACTATCGTTGGATGCAGAAGAATGGAGGATATATTTGGATACAGTCTAGTGCCACGATAGCTATTAACGCCAAGAACGCAAATGAGAAAAACATCATCTGGGTGAATTATCTTCTGAGGTATATTTTGGAATTCTTTTTCATTTCCATCTCAGTTATAAAACATGCAGCCCAATGGTAAATAGCTGACATGTTGTATTATCTTTTGACAGTATCTGGTGTGGAATTATATGGAACTTCTGCTTTTCTTTCCACACGATTCAAAGAAATGGGAAAAGTTCAAAGCCATGTCGGTAGGGACTTCGAGGGCAGATTTGCGAAATGTTCAATAGTTCTTGGTCTGCCAACCTTGGGGCAGTTCCGCAGACGTTGCTTTGGTTTCCCCACAAATGTTCGGGCCAGAAAAAGAACACAGACGTTTGCCTCCAGTGGAAGCATTCAAACAGCATCTCCTTCTGCCCCACACGTTCTCATACTCATGCGCTCCAACCCTTGTGAAAATTATGAAAAGGGGATGCGGAGGAAGTGGCAGAGTTCATATTCCTTCTGTATCCCATCTCTCTGAAGTCCTCAGCATATCACGTAGGGTTGGATTCCCCAGACATTCAAGTTTTGGTAAGCAAGGGGAGTCGCTTTGCCAGAATTGAGACAATTTCAGTGTAAAAATGAAGGCAGTCTTCTTTTGCCTGCTCTGTGATCTCAGGCAAGGGTGACCGCTGTTTTAACGCATCCTCAAATTTATATCCATTAATGCAGCCAAGCTCAACAGCCTCCTGAATTCCAGTGTGCAACACCACTCGTCTCTCCGTCCTCATCTGCTTGCGGCCTGTGGATTCAGGCTAGCACCAAAGTAACCGAGACGCATAGCCTGGGTGGTCTGCGTCTGGGGACAAGCTTCCTGGGAGGTTCTCCACCAATCCTGCCATGAAGTTATCCAAATGCTCAGCCTGGCTCCCTCCCACCATTGTCATTCTAGTCTTTGGCTTCTCTTGGCCTAAAGCCACCAAGCAGGGCCCACATGTGGTCTGAGGAGGAAAACTTCCAGCAGGTCTTATGAATGGAAGTTGTTGCCCTTTGACTGATAATGTAGACAGGGAGTACCGAATCCCATTTTTCTTTGAGACGGAGATGCAGACGGCCGTGGCTCATCAGCACGCTGACCCTTCAGAGTGTGTTCGCGTCCGCTGGTGACGCCTTGAAGGCATGAATGTGCTTGCTCCCAATAGCATATCAATCAGACACTAATGATTATTGCTCTAGAGAGGGCTTTAATGTGCACCACTTAGAAGAGTCTTCGTTCATCTACTTTCTTTTCCCTTTTTTGAGCTCTTAATTCTCTCTAAAGGTAAAGGTATGGGTATCTAACGGGGCTTTCTCCAAAGCCTGCTTCTCATGCAAACTATCCCCTGTGTTTGTGATACGCCCAAGATGGGTTCTGCTATCAGGGAATTCTTTTACTTAGAGGTTTATGGAACAATGGCTGTATGCAATGCAGAAGGTTATAAAAACTCACATGCCAAAGAGAAGACAGAATAAGGTATTGTGGCACTGACATTCACTGTGCCAAGGAGACCCGTTATTAGTAAAAATTAGACATTAGTACCAGGGACACCGTAGACTGTAGGATGGCCGTCCCCGAGGCTGCTGGAGCCTAGGGCACTAAAGTAATCCCTATGGTTGTTCATCTCATTCATGACTTCCTACTCTGCCCCCAAACAGAGGGAGTGAGGAGGGGTGAGGAGAGGGCAGCTGGTGCCACTCTGGAGCAACACTCTTGGTCTAGCCTAGGATCACATGGTACCAGCTCATGGGCGTTTGGTGTTCCTGGCCCGCCTAATTCCGTATGGAGAAGGAAGCAGTTTGGGTACCAAAGCCCAGCCTTCAGGCTCAAAGAGCCTTGATCTCGGGCACGCCAGACGCGTTTCAGCTGACCTGAAGACTCACCCTGGGTTCAATAACAGAAGACTGGGAGTTGGCCGACAAGGGACTTGTGAACCCACATGGCATCTGGACCAAAGGAGAGGAAGCTCCCCAGGTCTGTCACTCATCAGGATCACTTCTCCAGGCTGGAGGTCTCGGAAGAAGGGCCTTGGCCCGACAGCAACTGTTGAAGTTGGTCTTTCTTTCCCACATTCCTGTCCTTTGTTCTTCCCCAAGCAGTATTTTCATGCTCCCTCTTCCTGGCCAGAATCCCTCACTTCTGGGCTCCGTCCAGGCTTGCACGTCCCTGCTCTGAAATTGCTGCTCCTCCAGTCTTCTTCCTGTACCCTCACAACACCTGGTAGAATTACAGCAACTGCGTAAGGGCTAAGGCTACCTCCCCAGCATCTGGCTCATCTGATCATCTAGAGAAAGCTCTGCTGCTGACGCTAATTCACACTAAGGAGTAAAGCCCTGATAAGTTATCTTAGTGAATGAACCCCCCTGGGATATTTGCAGTTTTGGTGTAGTTACTGAAACAGTGGCTCTTTGATACAGGAATTTCACTAGAAATTAGCTAGTGAGTCATAGAGACCTATGGAAGCTCTCCGGCTGACTGGCCATGATAGAAGGACAGAAGAGGCATTTTCCATTTGGAGGCAAGAGACTTTCCTACTGCCCTCAGATTATGCAGCTGGTACTGCTCATACGCTGGCCTGGCCTTGGAGTGGCATTTCTAGAAGATCGCTGACTGACCGAACACACTCCCTTCTCCAGAGGAGGCTTGCTTCTGAATTAAAAATAGAACAAAAATTAAGCACTTTTGTGCAAATGGGGTTAGCTTCATTCTTTCACACTGGGACTCTCCCCACTGCAATCAGATTTCCAGCTAACAAGCCACAGGTGTACGCCACACGAGCAGATGAAAATGTGATTGTAATGGGTGTGTTGACAGTTCAGTAGCCATAATCCACGCAGCCCAAGGTGCACCTGTGCATCTGTCAGATCGTTAGGTGCTGAGGGCTCTGCCCCCCAACTCCCCACCCCCCAATAGCCTTAGAGCCATCTGAACAGCTGAGGACACTCCGTCAAGGAGCCAAGACAAGGGTACCGAAGCAATGGACTCATTAGGAGCCCAGGAGAAGGCAGGGCACACCGGGAGGCAGGGGAATGAATTGTTGAGGGTGCTTCTCTCATCCTCCCTTCCCCTCAGCTGTGGTACTGGGAGAAATGTCAAGCAGCCCAGTTCCCTGGCCCCCAGTGGTACCTGATTATTTGAAAGCTTTTTGGTGGCTTTCATGTAGCATTTGGGTATTCAGTCATTGTGGCAAGGTGCACCTGTTGCCCAGCGCATGCAATCCAAGCTTCTGTAAAAGTCCCATGATGAGCTGAGAAATGATTGCATGCTTAGTCTTTCAAACCCTCTAAACTCCAAAAGTTTGGGGCAAGGAAGTGGGAAGATGGTCAAAAGCAACCCATCCAGAATGGGCGTCTGCACTCTTGATGAACACCTCCCTCCTCCACAGCAACCCCGAGTACAAGGACACGCCAATGGACATCGCACAGCTTCCCCACCTGCCGGAGAAAACTTCGGAATCCTCAGAGACCTCCGACTCTGAGTCAGACTCTAAAGACACCTCAGGTATTACAGGTATTACGACTTCTCCGTGTTCCGCAGTTAGGGCTTGCCTTTCCAGACTTGAGGGGTGGGCAACGGCCAAAGGAGTGTCATCTGAACGAAGCAACTGGTCAAAGTTTATATAGAGATATATGTCACATCAAGTTATTACTGAGTCTTTCTCAACACATATATGTATATATACTTATATACCACTACATACAGATGTGCACACTACAGAAGTGTGTGCACATACATACAATACATACGTTTCTGTATGTGGTGTTATGTAAATATATACATGCATCTAAATATGTATAAATATATACATATATGCATGTTGTGGTATGTATTCATACACGTAGGTATATTATGGCATATAAATATATATACACAAATATACAGAGAGATTGATTGATTGAGCCATCGCTTAATGTCAGTCTTCCATACAGAAGAAGCCCGGCCCTAAGCCCACAGCTAGCTCCAACCCCTTTACCAGAAGCGGACAGCAGGGCTATCTCTGTTGCTCCAAGACAGACCGTGACTTTGAGCCCCAAATATTCACATCCTCACCAAGCTGGGACTGAACCTCTAAAGCGGGATACTTAATGGCATCGGTAAATGACTCTTTCTGGGCGCCGTCTGTTACTCATTTTCTGAATCTATGCTGAACAAATCCATGCTTTCCCATTCCTAGTTATTTTGGGAAGCAAACTTTGAGTAGTTCTTTGGAGCACAGGAAAGCTAATATAAAAATTTACTTTTCCTCCACTTCCCAGTCCCCTTCCACAGACACGCATAGATGCAAGGGGCACATAACTCATAGAATTTACGGCTGCAAAAAATCCTAAGCCTCTCCTAACCCAGCCTTTTCTGCTAAATAAATGAAGGCCAGAGTAGTTACATGATTTGTCCAAGGTGCTAGTCCAGGCTGCCATCCAAAAGCAGAGCCATAAGATCAGCATCATCCCTAAAGGTTCTGAGGTTCTATTACTGAGAAAATCTATCCTCCCTAAAATGTGCCAGATGACTAGGGCACACCGGCCACAAACCCCATCCTTAGGGAACATGCTCTTGTACCGTATTCCCTCTACTCCAGACACAGCTTCAGGGAGGCCGAAGCAGATGGGGAGGATCTTGACTGATTTCCTGTAAATTGCATTCATTCGAGAAAGTTCTTTACTAGGGCAGAGTTCTAGAACAGACAGTCTCTGCTCCTTATTTATATAGTATATAGCAGTGAACAAAAAAGACAAAAATTCCCTGCCCTGTGGAGCTTATATTCCAGTTGGGGGGAGAGACAGAAGTAAATAAAAATAAAACATACAATGAATCAGATGGCGTTCAGTGCTCTAGAGAAAAATAACTTTAGGAATGGAGAGTATGGTTTTCAATAATGAGCAGATATTTACCAGGGGAAGGTGCAGACCTCTTTGGAAAGTCACCTTGCAAATCATTTTTCTGTGTCACTCCCACCTTATCCCCGGTTATTTACTCCTGAGTCCGTGAGCATTTTCGCAGAACATCTCGAATGTTAACGTGCCCAAGAATCACCTGGGGATCCTGTTCAAATGAAGAATCTGATCCCGTAGGTCTGGGTGGAAGCCTGGGATTCTGCATTTGTAGCAAGCCTCCAGGTGATGCCAATGCTGCGGGCCGGTCCCGGGGACCGCACTTCTGCGTCAGGGTCCCGCTAATCTAGGTCCTCAAGAGAGGGAAAGCCCAGGCTTTAAGTAACCGAGGCAGTGGAGCAGCTCAGGATAAGGCCACGCCCCCCCCCACCCCCGCCCCCGCCCCTCCTCCGCCCTCCCCCTCCCCCACCCCCGCAGGTGAGCGGTGGGACTTGCCCTGCTAACCCGATGTCTCCTGTGTCTCCTCTCCCCGCCCCCTACCCCCCGCGGCCGCCGGCCCCACGCAGAGGACAACGAGAACTCCAAGTCCGACGAGAAGGGGAACCAGTCCGAGAACAGCGAAGACCCGGAGCCCGACCGCAAGAAGTCAGGCAACACGTGCGACAACGACATGAGCTGCAACGACGACGGCCACAGCTCCAGCAACCCGGACAGCCGCGACAGCGACGACAGCTTCGAGCACTCGGACTTTGAGAACCCCAAGGCGGCCGAGGACGGCGGCGGCTTCGGCGCGCTGGGCCCCATGCAGATCAAGGTCGAGCGCTACGTGGAGAGCGAGTCGGACCTGCGGCTGCAGAACTGCGAGTCGCTGTCGTCGGACAGCGCCAAGGACTCGGACAGCGCGGGCGAGGCGGGCGCGCAGGCCTCCAGCAAGCACCAGAAGCGCAAGAAGAGGCGGAAACGGCAGAAGGGCGGCAGCGCCAGCCGCCGGCGCCTGTCCAGCGCGTCGAGCCCCGGCGGCCTGGACGCGGGCCTGGTGGAGCCCCCGCGGCTGCTGTCCTCCCCCAACAGTGCCTCGGTGCTCAAGATCAAGACGGAGATCTCGGAACCCATCAACTTCGACAACGACAGCAGCATCTGGAACTACCCGCCCAACCGGGAGATCTCCCGGAACGAGTCGCCCTACAGCATGACCAAGCCCCCCAGCTCCGAGCACTTCCCGTCCCCGCCGGGCGGCGCAGGCGGCGGGGGGCTGCACGTGGCCATCCCCGACTCGGTCCTCACTCCGCCCGGTGCCGACGGCACGGCCGCCGCCGCCCGCAAGACTCAGTTCGGCACCTCGGCCCCCGCGGCCTTGGCCCCCGTCGCCTCCGACCCGCTGTCGCCCCCGCTCTCGGCGTCCCCGCGGGACAAGCACCCCGGGGGCGGAAGCAGCGGCGGCGGGAGCGGCCCCGGAGCGTCCAACTCCTTGCTGTACACTGGGGACCTAGAGGCGCTGCAGAGGTTGCAGGCGGGCAACGTCGTGCTGCCGCTGGTGCACAGGGTGACCGGGACGCTGGCGGCCACCAGCACGGCCGCGCAGAGGGTCTACACCACGGGCACCATCCGCTACGCGCCAGCCGAGGTGACCCTGGCCATGCAGGGCAACCTGCTGCCCAACGCGCACGCTGTTAACTTCGTGGACGTTAACAGCCCGGGCTTCGGCCTTGACCCCAAGACGCCTATGGAGATGCTCTACCACCACGTGCACCGGCTCAACATGTCGGGACCGTTTGGCGGCGCCGTGAGCGCGGCCAGCCTGACGCAGATGCCCACCGGCAACGTGTTCACCACGGCCGAGGGTCTCTTCTCCACGCTGCCCTTCCCCGTCTACAGCAACGGCATCCACGCGGCACAGACTCTGGAGCGCAAGGAGGACTGAGCACCGCCCAGCGCGGCCCGGGGTTCTGCCCGGAGGCATCGTCGGCGTTTTCGTTTAGACCTTTGATTCTAGCACTTTGAATTCGAGCAGGTCAGCATCTTCTCTCGCCACGACGGTCCCCGTTCCATCCCCTCTTTCTTTCACTGGACTCATTCTTTCCTGTAAAGATATGTTTATTTTTGGCCTTCAGAGGGTCAGACGACCAGTTGCCTGCCATTTTGTCTTCTTCCGAGATGTGTGTTGGGTTGTTTTGCTTTCCTTTGCATCTTTATTAAGATGTCTTTAATGTGTATATGCCTCTGCCATAGAATACTCAGTCTTGTGGTCAAGAGATTTCTGAAATGACAACCATTGAGTTTTCTTCGTAAAGATCTTGATATGATCAAGATTGAAAGAGACAAGCATAAACAATGTGCCCTGTTTGACTAAGTCAAATGAAATGGGGTGGCGTTTTTGTTTCTGTTCCTAATTCCTTTGAAAATAGGGGGATAGTATTTTAGAATTTTATGCAGAATTTAATTCTCTTTTTATGGTTAAGATTTTAAGATTTTCTTACTTGCACATAAAAATAATTTGGGTTCTTAAACTTAATTTCTGGCCTGTGACTAGAATGTTTAAAAAAAAAGTTGGACTAAATGTTAATTACTGAAACATTAACTTAATTTCTAAAACCATGGTGCTATCATTTATTAATCTGTAATGTCTTCATACAAAATGCAGCTCCTGGGCTGGGTTTTGAAAAAAAAAATGTGTTCTGTCCTGGTCTGGAGTCCATTGCTGCAGTCTCCTTGGTTAAGACAAAGCCCTCATTAATGTTTGCTGCAGGACTTAAAATTTTTTACCTCCCAACTAACATAGCCTCACATTAAATTTAATGGGTCAGGAAAGCCCTTTTTAAAAGGGCTTTTGGAAAACTCAATCAAACTGATTTGAGGAGCAGTTTAGGTACATACTGCCTTTTGTTGAGCTTTCTTTCTTTCCTTTTCTCAGTCTAACTGAGGCTAATTTTTGCAACTTCAATAACACTTTGGAGTAAAAGAAGGAAAAAAATATTTAACGTTTTTGATTTTTTCATTTCTTGCTAAAAAAAAGAAAAGGAAGGCTGTATTTTGGGGGACTGATTTGGTGGATTTTTTTTTCCCTTTGGTTCTTTTATTTCTAGGTTGGAACCAGTAAGGTTTAAAACTAAAGAATGGGTTAAAATAAGCTTCAAACAGATAACTGCAACTGAAAACTGCACATTAAGTTAAAAAAAAAAAAAAGAAAAAAAAAAGAAAAAGTAAAAGAAAAAAATATCCTATTTTGTCTTTGTTGCCAGAAATCAGTGTAGTGTCAAACACTCCAAATGACTGTCAAGTATAAATTCTTCTTCCACTCCATTTTTGGCAGCTGTTTGTTAAGGCATCTAATAACAGATGTGAGAACTGTAACGTGTGCACTGTGTATGTGTCCTTGGCTGTCAGTCCATTGCAGTTTCAATGTGTGTTTCTATATGCAGTATATACTAAGCTAATGTAGTTGTTTTGTCCTTTGTCTTCTCTGTGCTCTATCTCTAGTACAGTCCCATTCCTGCAGTCCTAGTGAATCAGTGATTCTTGGGGGTTAGTGATTTTTGTGTGGTGGCCTTCCTCTGTAACGTCACCCTATGCTGCTTCTAGGGTCTGTGAATCTTCCATTTCACTTTTTAAGATTTCTGCTGTTGCTTTGCTGGTGTATATTCTCCCAACCTCTCCCCTTTCTCTCTCCCTCTCTCTCTCTCTCTCTCTCCCCCTCTCTCCCCCCCCCTCTCTCCCTCTCTCTCTCTCTCTCTCTGTCTCTCCCTCTCTCGTCTCCCCTTTTCCTGCCTCATCTCCCCCCCACCCCAACTTCTCCAAAATCTTTTTCATTCTCAGAGATAAAAAGACTCTTAACTAGCTCAAGGTTAATGGAGCCATTTTTCCCATAATGGAATTCTGGGTATGACTCTTTCTTCTGGAGTGCCACACAAAGCACTGAAGAATAATGCTCAGATATATGAAATAAATTGATGCCATATAGCCTCAGTTGTTAACATTCCCAGAGTCCCTTGTGTTCTACCTATAAGCAGTGGGTGCTTTGCTTTGGTTTCCTTCCAGGTTGGCTGATGGAGCAATATATAAAGCAATTCACCAGTGAGACAGAAAATTATTTCAAAGGTCAACCAACATTTTTCAAAATCAAAAGGGGAGCGGTGGGGGGGGGTGGACTATAGAATTGTCGTATATATTTGTTTATGTGTGCAATGCTAATATAGTAACTCCGCTGTCCTTTGAATATCACTGTGTTGAGTGGATTCCTCCAGGCCCTTTGATTCCGTGAGTTGGGCCCAAACCACTGTGGAATAGTGAAAAGAAGTTTAATGCCACAAATTCTAATAGTGAGCACTTACTCGAAGGATTTGAGTAGGTTTAGGAAGTGAAGAAGAGGCCAATCACGAAATTGAAAGAGTAATTTTGGAAGCTCTGCTCTAGCTATTGAACAATCAAAGGAACGCACCTATCAGCTACAAAGAACAGCTAGACGGCTGTTTTTTATTTTCTTTTATAAATGTTTCTGTGTTGTGTCAAAATGATTTCTGGTGATTTAAACTAACAGATAATCACAGCTGCTGTCTAAATCCATAGTGTTAAAATTACAAAGTGGAAAAAAAAACACTTCATTACCTGTGAAGACTGTGTCTGTGTTTTTAACTATTTCTTGTACAAATATATGAAAACTTTTATGAGGAGACTGGTGCCAAGTAGCTGAATAATGGGGAAAGGGATATTCTGTTCGTAAAACTCTTAGCAGTGTTACCAACTCTACAATATATATATAAAAAAAATTAAAACATTACAAAGCGACAGCTATGGTACATTTGTTTTGTGTGAAGCTAACGGGACCTAACTTCCTGAGTGCCTGGCTTATTTTGAAACATTTTTTTTCATTGACCATTTATAATGCTGCAAATCAGAAATGTACATACTTCATTTACAACAGGGTTCTTTTTATACTTTTGTAGATTCTCATACATGTCACATACATGGTTGTCTTTATGTAACTTAATTTTTCATCTGCAGGTGCCATTTTCATAATAAACTTCTCTTGGATTTGTTACTATCTGGCATCATTTCTTTTACATGTAACCATCCTAACTAATGAATGCTGGTAGTATTTGTTTAAGCAGGTACCTTGGTCACTATTCTTGATTTAAACAAAAAAGAAAAAAATTTTTAAAGCATCCATATTTTTGCTAGTTGTGGACAAAATGCGTAGCTTGTATACCGATGAGGCTGACTGACAAGGCACAGATTAAGATGCTAATCCAAATACTACATCAAACGTGCAACCATCCTAGATTTTCAGCTACCCCAACTCATTGTCATATGAGCATTATTATGTACGTTATCAAAGCTGAACAACGGGCCTGCGACATTAACCACTATGGGAAGTGTGCATTTTTTCTTGATTAATGCACAGTAAGTGATGAGAGTTTTCATACATTAATCATTTAAAATGCACTCGGTATTTTCATTTATTATGAGCTCTAATGTATAACCAACTGTTCCATTGCTTATATCTTCTCTTTATTACTAAATACGTATTTTCTTTCTCCAGATAAGCCAAGTAAGTCATGACTGTGCTGTGTTATTGGGTAGGTCAGCATCCAGCCTGTCCCTTTTTGAGGCAGGTCAGCTGGCCAACTCCAAAAAAATAAACAAAGAGGGAAAACTTCAGCCGCTCTCTCAAAGTTAAGGATACAGGTGGGTCACCTGTTAAGTCTGTGCTCTCCAGAAAATGAAGACATATGGATGGGTTGAGTGGAAAGAAAAGGCAAACACTTTGTCCAAAAGCTCCCAACTATAGTAATTATCATGTCCTACTTTAAGTCTTTGATGACATTTGCTAATTTGAGGGTACCTTTGGTTAATGGAGGATAGCTTCAGACTGGTGGATGTGGAAATGCAGTTATGGTCGTGGGGTCCTAGATCTCTCCACTAGACCCTTTATGGATCCCTGGAAATAAGTACTTAAAAATTAGAAATAGGAAGAGGGTGACTGAGAATACAGAACTGGATTCTCTCAACTACTTTGCCAAAATCTATCTTTCCTTTTTGCTCTTGAGAGTCAGAAGAATATAGTAGAGCAATATTGAGAAGCAAACAAATTGATGAAGCTGGAAACGTGGTCCTGAACAGATGACAGTTGAGTGTTGAAGCCAGCTTACCCAAGGCACTCTGTCTGAAGGTGTTGATGGACCCGGCTGTTAGCCATGGCTTCCAGAGCTTTGCATGGGGGAGGGTCTACCAAGGCTGAGGGCTGACCCTCTGTTGGCACGATGACAATGTTGGCCATAACACTTTAATTCTGGACACCCCTTCACCCTGTGATCTGGAGGTAGTAGCAGCTGGGAGTTGAAAAAGGAAAGCCAGACGTGGTGATGGGTGAGTTGAAATCGTCATGATATTTGGAGCTTCTGCGATAGAGGTGATAGAAATCCTCGATGCTTACCCAGGCGCAAGCCTCCTTAGTACCAAGTTTCCTGTCCTTTATTTGTACCCATCAATGCTAAAATATGTCACTAATTAAATAAAGAACACCTCTTAGCCAAAAAGAGAGGGCGTGAGCTCTGGGCGCAGACCCACTGACAACTGGGCAGCCCTGCCACTTCCCCAGCCCTGGGGCTGCCAGCCAAACCAGAACCCTGAGCTCCTCAGAGGCACAGGACCTCTCCCTTGCCAGTCTGGCAGAAGGTCACTTTGTTAAGGCTTCAGTTTGCAGGTGGTGGATCGAACAGGGATCTAAGGCCAGCCCTCTGCATCTCTTCTCCCTCCCAGCTGATCCTGACACTTATCCATTTGGCAATGAGGAACAACAACGGCAGCAAACCTTTAAATAAAGTTGCAGGCAGGACAAGAGGGAAGATATGCATTCAGTTGAGCATAAAGAAACTGGTCTTAGTCCTTTTGGACTATAACTCTTACCCATCTTCACCTACCCCT